GTTAGAGTATTTAAATACTCTAACTGTGTGTGAATCATGGAGGAGATGATCGTCGGTGATCGTCGTCGACGATGATCGGAACTGTCAGTCGTAGGATTGCACGTCAGATGTGAAAGTTTCTTAGTTATACAAACTTGAAAACATTATTTATAGGTTATTTAGAAATATTTTTAGAAAGTATTTTTATTACAAATTATTTTTATCAACATGTTATACAGCAATAAAATATTCATCCATTGCGCTGTTTTACACGATAAAAATGATTCTTTATCATCATAATACAATTAAAATTTTTTATCAATTTTATAAAATTAAATAAATTGGATTTTCAACTATAATATACCTGTAGCGTAATACGAGAACTGGAGACGCTTTTTGCTCGAATCGAGGCATTCTATCTTAGTACTCAGTGGTAACAACGCATTTGCATTTTAATTCTTAATTGAGGATAAATGTGGATGTCTATAGGCCACAGCATCCACATAGCATCAGTTGGACTGTGTGCTCGTTTGTCACCCGATGCTATAAAAAATTGAAAGTGAAGGTCACGCGTTTAATGCTTTTTTCTTATCCCAAAAGTTCCCAACGTACCTAAAGTTTTCACTTCACTAAAGACGTCCTTCTACACTCACGCGCGTACATATTCACACATACACACGCCTGAACGCGTGCAAGCACGCATGCACGTGCGTACACAGACAAATCTCAGGCTTTTCTCACGAGCACATTCTAAGTCGGAAACCATTTAATTAGCCTACATTTGAAAAAAATCATTATATTCACCGCGTAGTTGCGGTGCAGGAATATCCACTACGCCATGTCGTCCCGTAGGTGTCGGACAAGTAAAAGGCGACACAGAGAAATTTAAACAGGTGATGAAAAGCAGCATTTTCTTGAGAGAAACTGAAAAATATAAAATTTCATGGTTTATACTAATTATAAAAATTGTAAGGGGCAAAGGGTATCTTCCAATAGTAAGGTGGCTAAGTTGGGATCACTGCACTTAGTATGCGGGTGGATTCATAAACCTAGTGTGGCTTTACACACGTGTACGTCTGGCAAATAGGAAATAGTTGGGTTCTGCAATTTCCCTGGTTTAGCAGTTGTTCACGTGCGGCGATAGGAAAAACGAGCACTCGGAAGCACTAGCCTTACTGTCTCCAACGGTGGATCTGGTCTATGGCTCCACCACTAACCAAGATTCTACCCCAGCGGTAGTTGGAGAAGACAATCCTCTCACCGCATACCACCAACACACATCCAAAGTGGGCTTGCCAAGCCAATTTGACGTAGCCACCTCTGCACTCTTGCAGTTGCAACTGGCCTAGACAATAAAGTTGTCTCCTTTACACACATTATTACTTATATCAGCAATTTAAGTAACATTATTAGTTTATAATATTTTATCGTACGGAAATAATTAAATAAATATTTTAAATTTTCTAACTAAAAGCGGCAGCACCGTGTTTACTTTGTTGCGTTGAAATAAAACGGAGTTCGTTTCGTTTCCATGCCAGTAAATACAATATAAAGATGCAAAGCGATGCCCCAGGAGTATTTATTCTCGCCAAAACAAGCTGCTTGCAGCACTGGTCATCATTTGTAGTCTGATCTCGTTAGAATTCTACAAAAGAGTCAACAAGTAAACTATTATTAAAAACGAAGAACCCAACTGAAGTTTTCTAACCATAATAGCTCACGGCGTTCGCCGTGAATTTGACAGTACAGTTAGTTACATTTACGTGACAAAGCCATGCTGTAGCTTTAGACTATGCTCTCGCAGAATACCAGTGTAAACATGTGAGTGAATAGAACACATTCATCAGGGCATTCCATCTTAGTCCTTTGGGATGACAACTCATTTGCACGTTCATAGTATAGGCCACAACATCCACTTGAACACCATCATGAGAATTGTGTGCTCATTTCTCACCCTTGTTCTTTAAATTTGGATCACCAAGTTGCACTGCTGTGGTCCGGTTCGAAGGGTGCAGAGAGCCAAGATGATTACAGGTTGCGGAGCGTTCCATTTAAGTCCTCAGAGGTGGCAACGGACTGCAGAATCCACTTACAGTCCGGTGGAGTGTAAGACCGTCTGTTACCGTCACCTTCTACCTCTTTGAAAACCACTACAAGGCCCCCCAAAACCCGGGGTCAAGCCGGGGCATTTTTTAGAGAAAAATCAACGACGGGATGATATGGGGTTGTGGATATTTTTACACCGCCAATACATGGTTCACCACTACAATTTTATAAAATAATATTTATATTTTAAAAAAAAACGTGTTCCCGCCGCTACCTTTACTGCACGTGTTCGACGGTGAAGGAAAGAATTGAGAAGAACCTGCACTTATGAGGAATAAAAAATATTCCGAAAACAATGTGAAACCCCTTTAATACGCATTAATTAAACTGCTTGTACTAGGGGTCGTTCACGTGTTTAGAACAATAGCCGAAAGGCTTTTATACATAGTAGTAGTCTTTTGACTTACGCATCCGGTATATATATATATATATATATATATATATATATAGTATACATACAAAAACAATTGATTATTTTTTTAGTTGCAAGTGTTTGACAGGTAATACGCGTCATATTTATCTTAAACTATGGTCGCATTATAGTATATTAGCTACCCCAACAAATGTCATTTTGCCATTTCCGGTAGGTGCACTAAATTTAAAAAAATACTAAACATCCGAAGAATGGTAAAGCAAAGCATAAAAGACGAACAAAACAACACATATTGTGTTTGAGGTATGATGTAAAAAGGATTTTTATTAACACAAACAAAATTAGGCAGTAGCATTGGAGCGAATAGAAGAGTATCTATTAAGTTTTGAAACTGAGGAAATAACTAGAGGGAATAACTGGAATGTAACTATAAACAATAAGAAGCCTTTGTAAAATTAAAATGCTTTTAGCTTACGTAGACTTACTCGTATTTTCTTTGTGCTGGTCGTTTTCTTATACTTAATGTTACCTGAACCATATTAAAATGTTCCACAGAAATCAGACTAGACAAAAGCACTCGTAGAATTACGCGTTGGAATTTGTTCGCCCTTATTAGTTCCTTTTACTAGACAATGTTAATATTTACAAGGTAGTACAAAAACAAACTACTAAACTAATGTACTAGATGGTAGGACTTTTTCCCTGCCTAGGAGTCCGTCAGTTTAGGTACAATCCTCTTATCTATTACTACCGGAAACAGCAGTGCGTGCTGCTGTGTTCTGGTCTAGAGGGTAAAAAAGAGCCAGAATAGTTACAATAAAAATATTTTCCCCGTGGAAAACTTAAGATAGCCAGCCACTAGGCCACACGGCAGTTATAGTATATAATGACTATAAAAAAACGAAACGGCTTAGGTCTTAATTTCTATAAAATATTAATGCAAATAAATTTATTTAAACTTTAAAATGGCCGTTTCATCCATTTTACATAACAACGAGTTAGTCACTATTTTTTACATAAAATTCAAGCTTTATAACGTTGTCATATATTTTAAGCCGATTTAAATTTTGCAGGCGTCGAATATTATTCGTAGACTTAAAATCTGAAAAATTGGTTGTTTTAGACAAAAAGACTCAAAAAAAATAAGTAATTTTTTATAGGTAGCAGTGGAAAGTGAGTAAAAAAGTTTTTTAGAAAATCTAGAATGAAATATATCGAGCTTATAACCAAATAGTTTATCAAGATTTACTTTTTATCATTTTTATACATTTATACTTATCACAACCAGTTCTCTCTGTTCAAAATATCAATCTAGTTGTAATCTCGCGAGATTTTTGTACAAAATAATAAAAATTTAAAAAAACTCCTCTTTGTTTATTTCGTATGTGTTTATCCGATTATGGTTTTGGCTGTGGTTATGTTGTGTTTATATTATGTAGTGTTATACTACAAGAAATGAATAGCTGTTGCGTTCCTATTCCATTGACGTTTATGCACAAACCAACCTACTATGATTAATATGATCATACATACGTACGTTTTTTTATAGGATGAGGGTATTATTCGAGCCCACTATCCACATGATGGTTTTTGCTTGCTGTTGCTAATAGATATCTACGTCTATCCTCGACTACGAATCATAACAAATATATGTAGTCACCCGTGAGGACTAAGATGGAATGCCTCGTTTACAGTAAAAAGTGTCTCCGATTCTCTACACTCACCATATGAAACACAGCAGCGTTTAGCTGCTATTTTACGTAATATTATTGTACCAATACTACTACATCTATAATTCTTAAAATATTATGGCATATAGAGACTAAACAATGAAGTATTTTTGAATTACTGGGTATTTACTAAGAATACCTTAAAGAAACATAACACAGTTGAAAATTATTGTAGAACACACAACTTTAAAATAACTTAAACAGAAAAGCTAAGTTAAATCAAGTATTCAAGAGAAGATATAAGACCTTGAATTGGATAATAAGCAAGCAAATTAAGTTCGGTTATTGCTGGCTGTAGTTTTGGTACTGATTTACCTCGGGCTCAGCAGTGAAGGAAGGCATTGTCACAAAAACTGCACATCTAAGAAAAGAAATAACATTTTAAAAACACTAATTCGTTTTAAAACAGAGTAGCGGTATCTGCTGCTCCATAACCCTTCAGGTGTTTGTTTGATTTTTATTTAAATATTTTTTTCATCTGCCGTACAGTGTTAGAGCAAGTGATTGCAATTTGTGGTTTGTATATGTACGATACAGGTGATTCTCATCTCGTATCGTACATATACATTATAAACAGGAGATGGGCAGCAGCATCTTTTTGATAAGAACTAGAAATAATAACAAACTGCGGTTGTTATTCCATCTGCCAAGCAGGAAACAGTGGCAAATTTCCTCATTAAAAGCCAATTTACGGGAAAGTTTATGGGTAAAGACAGACTGTAACCAATTAATGTCGTCAAATAGGATGGTTGTAAAAATATTGTCACAAACCTGGTAATAAAATAAGAAATCAATTGTTCTACAAATTGCTTTTAATTAAAATTTCCTCGTACATCACTCAAATATCCATATTCAAAACAACTTTCAATATGTCCTTCCACGCGTTTTTTGATCGCTTCAAATGTTTGCGCCGTTAAATTTTCCACTTTAAAGTTTTGAGATAGTTCACTTAAATCCATATTTTCAAGGGATGCTAAATCAGGTGCCTCTTGTGTTTGTCTCAGTAAGAAATTAATCATAATCAGGGACAGTCCGAAGCAAACTTTACCATACCTCTTTAAATCGGCGTCAAGCTTATCTCTCGGGTAAATAAAGTTAACCTTAAGGCCGAAATAGTTCAAATATCTGTCCAATTCTAAGTGGTAGAAATCGATCCATTGGTAATAGTGCTTCGATCTAGTGTCATAGTCCGTGCAGTTGAACACCAAATTGTGTATATCGGAAACCGGAAGACTTTCTTTAGCAAGCTGATAATCAATGAGCGTGCATTCAACTGGTCGGTCTCCCTAAAAATAATAAGGTATAAATAAGTGTTCATACATGTTTGTGTAAAATTTGTTTTTTTTTTTTAAGAAATCATTTATACTACTCAAATATTACAACTAAAAATTTTCTAGCTCTAAACTACTCTCAAAAATAAAGAGGATGTCAGTGTCCAGCAGTAGGACGTATGTAAAATGATACTTTCATTTTTATCTTATTAACAATATGAGTTTCATAGGTTTTATAAATATCGCACCGAATGTTTACAAAATCAAATTATTAATTCATCATTATCGTACGTCATTAGAGTATGGGGGATATGGCAACACTATCCGTGTGCCAAACGTAAAGATAGTATATATAATATACTTAAATTTTTAATTATATATGTATAATTTTGGAAAGCCCGTATCAATTGCCTGATAATGTATGCACTGATAATGAATTTAATGAAACGCAATAAATAGGAATGGTAAAGTTAATAAAAACTCAGTTTATAAGTATACCATTTCTTCAAGTTTAAGAAAAGTAAGATAAGATGCACGTTTTTTGTTCAAATAAAAACACTAACCTGCATTCGAAACATAACGTTGTTTGTCCACAAATCTCCATGTTGCACTACACAGTATTTTGAACCCTTATCAGCAGTCAAGATTTTTAATCCCGTTTTCCTAAAATGTTCCAAAATTTCACTGATAGCATTAGTATACATTTCCTTATCAAATATCGCTTTTATGCCATTTAACACTTCAACAAAAAACATTTCCATTTGAGTCATATTTTCTTGATTCATTAGCGTATTTACAAGACCTGCTGCGAATTTATCATAAGTTAATGGATCATTACGTTTCAAAACGTAGGATAGAGAATGGAATTTTGCTATGTTTTTAAGAACAATTTTGACAGCCTCATCGCTTAATGGTTGCATTTTGTTGAACATGATAAAGTTTTGCGTTTCTAGGTCATCTAGTAATATTATTTCATTTAGCGAATCTGAAAGAGTTCCGTAACAAACTAGATATTTAAATCTTTCCTCCTCCGGTACACCGAAATTCTTCTCTAGTTCTCTCATTTTTGGTAATAGTTCATTGTATATTAGAATTTCAGTAAGAAAAAAGTCCCTTATTGGTCTTTGTTCACGAAGCATTTTAATCGTCGGCGCTATTTTAGCTATCATTTTAAATTCTTTACCATTATCAAATTCAACGATAAATCTTTTTACGTATGATCCATAATTGTCGCCTGCCTTTCCCACCGCCTGCACAAGCACATGATTTCCTTTATAGTCATGTTTTTCGAGCACTTCACTAACAAGTTTAAATTGCTGTTTTGTTATATTTTCAATGTCACCTTTAAATTCGAACATTTTATTATCAACTGTCTTTCTTTACTGAGATAATTAAGGTTACGCAATATTTATACAAACATTTTATCAGAGGTTATCAAGTCGATATGAGATATGAGTTGAATAAATTGAACGAATGAAATTTATTTAAACTTCATTCAATCATTTATGAGAGTCCATCAAAAGTCAACCGCTAGGGGGGGGGAGATTTTTCGCCATAGTTGCCACGTTTTGCAATCAGGTAGTCAACTGCTCTACTTTTTTAAATAATTGAATTTTTAACAAGAAGATGCTGTTTTTTTTTAATTTTGATATCTCATAGCTATATTCAGCACACTGCTGAACATAGGCCTCCCCATAGCTTGCCTCATAGGGAAGATATTTGCCATACTTGCCACGCTTGGCTAGCGGGTTGGGAGACGCAGTTTTTATTTTTATTCAGCTGTTTTATTTCGTAATACTTTTAGTATTATGCTTTTTCACTTTAAAAATTAAAGCTTTGCAATCAGATTAGACTGCATTTAAGGAAGCAACTGTTCAAAACTGTTCAAATCAATACACCAAAATTTGAAAACGCAAAAACCAATTATAAGGAAACCCGTGTAAATCTGTAAAAATGCTTTTATTCAATTTAAAACAAATGTATAACAATACGGTACTACTTTAAACTGATAAGGACAATGAAACACAATATTTGCATTGAAAATAGTGCACGTGCAGATTCTATATCTTTATCTACAACAATTATTTTTGTCGTATTTATCTTTATCGTACGATTGTGTATGGTATCCTGTTATATATACTATTTAGATTAAAATGATCGTAAACAAATACATTATATTCGCTTTTATTCAATAAATCTATTTCGGAATACGGATCTGGTGTAGAATGACGTATTTATTACTACGACAGAAATATAATAATACGAATATTCAACGGGGAGTGACAGAATGTGTCAAAAAAGGCATTTATGGTAATAATTCACAATGCTGTGTAAGTCACTAGTAGTGTAAGTTGGGTGTAGCAGAAGAAGCACGAGAGTAGAATAAATTCTGTAAAAATGCAGTCGTTAAGGAACATTTTAGGGCTGAATCTGAATGATAAGGTAAGAAATTGTATGATAAGAGAAAAATGTGATTTGCAGGATGATGTTACGATCAGAATTATGAAAGGAAAGCTGCAGTGGTTTGGTCGTGTAGAAAGAATGGACGAAGAAAAAGTGACAGAGCTAATCTATGTCGCCGAAGTGAAAGAAGTCGGAAAGGAAAGCACTTGACAAAAGTTTATTGACCAAATTGGCGATATATTGAAGATGGGCCAGATTAGTCGACGAGCATGTATGCGTACGTATACAGGATGTAAAGAAGGCGAGAAGGTGTGTCAGAATTTTGTCAAATGGAATTCCGTAGTCTCTGCTCCTCCGGGTAATAGGGTGGATTGTTTTTGTTTATGTTTTGTACGTTATAAAAAACTCTTTCGAAGAAATGCAAAGTCGAAATGAGAAAATATGTGCCATTTGTGCTCCGTTGTGAAGAGTTAGAGCAAACAGGTGGATTTTTTATGGTAGAGCTATAGAACAACTTTGTAATGGATGTAGCATGAATGGATTGGTCCGACCGGAAAAGGAACCTGAACTCAAAAAAGCAGGTATTATAGAACACAAGTGTAGAATGGCTGTATAATACTGCTGTGTTTCTGATCTTTTTCTCTTATCTTCTTTATCGGCCCCGCAGACCAACAGAGAGATCTGTTGGTCAATCATTCATTCATAATTTATAACGGTCCGTTATAAGTCTGTTGCTGAATGTAGACATGCCCCATATAAGGCAATCGCCTTATAGTGCGAACAACGCAGTGTAGTGATGGCTTAAGAAAATCAACTACCCCACATTAAACTTTCAATTTATTTAGTGATCTTCTACAGCCTATACACTGTGTCTGGTCACGACCTAGCGATAATTTAAAGTTACAAAATATACCTAATTTCATCGACGAAAACACCCATATATAGGGGTCTACGCCCCCCTCCTGTCGGAATGGCCGCCATTTAATTTTTTTTTTATTCTTGTAGATACCTCTGCCAAAAGATGCAGATTTCTCTGGACAGAGAGGTCCTACAGATGTAAAAAAAATGTTATTTAAAAGGTAAAAATAGCATCTATCAAATAAAAATAAACATCACGGAAAGTTTTCCCTACAAAATATCTTAAAACATTTACAATGCTAATTTAAGTAAAAAAAATTGACTATTTTTTTATTTTTCTTAACATATTTCAAAAACTAGCACATTGATACTAAATTTTTTAATACTGTCCTAATACTTAAGGATATTACTTACAAATTGACATTAAAATTATTGTTCTTAATTGCATAACTCGAGAGTTAGTGCTGTTTGAATATGACCCTTTTGCGAGGGTCATGTATGTAGAGCCTCATATGAGCGCTATGAATTTTCGATAATGGATTAAATAAAAATACGCTATAACTTTTAAGAAACTTTTAATGGCATTAAGTACTATTATTAATTTAATAATTGTTCAAAATGTCCACCTCTATTCTGTAGACAGGCTACTGACCTTACAGCCATTTGTTGTGTGGCCCTTGATATTAAGACTATGTCGGATCTTATGTCATCCGCAATCGTCATTATTTTGTCGAGCAGTTCTTGTCTGCTATTTGGGACTGTAGCATAAACCCTCTGCTTCATCCATCCCCATAAAAAATAATCCAGAGGTGTTAAATCCGGAGAGCGAGGTGGCCAAGCTACCGTTCCACCACGTCCTATCCATGGTGAATAATTTTCATTAAGAAAAGCTCTCACAGCACGTGCGTAGTGAGCTGGTGCACCGTCCAACTGTAGCCACATGCGCCTTCGGTTGATCACTGGTAATTCCTCCATGATTTCTCTAAATGTGTTCCTTAGAAAATCTAAAAACCTTAGGCAATTCATTGTATTTGGTAATTCAATTGGTCCAATTAATTTGTCATCAATCATAGCCGCCCACACATTTACTGAAAATTCATGTTGAAATTTACTGGGCCTTACTGCATTTGGATTTTCTTGCATCCATAAATGCTGGTTTCTATGGTTTATAATACCAGCTCTTGTAAAAGCCGCCTCATCGGTCCACATGATTTTTTTACAAAATGTCGGTTGACGTCGCACACAACCGTTGAGCCACGAGCAAAAAGTGGCTCGCACAGCATAGTCTGGCTCTCGAATATCTTGTACGCGACGAAAATGGTACGGATGCATGCCTTCGCGTTTTAAAATTTTCCACACAACCCATTTTGACAAATGCAGCATCATTGCTATTCGCCTTACACTGAGCCTGGGATCTCTTGAAATTAATTGAAGAACTTCTTCTTCTGCTTGCACTGACACTATGCGGGAGCGTTCATTTGGCGGCCTTTGGATGCCATATTGCGACAATCTTAAGTGAATGTGAATCTTAAGTTAATGTACATGTCAACAAAAGTTTGTCGACTGGATGTAGGCCGGTCGGGATACCTCTGACGATACATTCGTACGGCGGCGGCAGCGCTTCCATTACATCTGCCATACACGAAATGCATGTCAGCTATGTGATGAGACGAATAGTTAGACATGTTTTTATCCTGAAAGTACGTAGTTACTGCAAACTACAACAAACTCGGCAGAATATCTCGGTGAAGGAATAGCTCAGAAAACGGAACGGAATAGTAGCGATCGCAACGCAGAGCGGAGGACAACTGATCTAACAAACATTTATCTTCGATACCTGCGCTGGTCAAACATGATTTTTTGTCCTACTTATTCATCGCCTAACAATAATACAAATCATTTTCTGTCCTTGTCACATAAACCCTATTCAATGTAGCAGGTAGCTCTACATGGGTTTGGGAGCGTCGCAAAAGGGTCATATTCAAACAGCCCTAACTCTCGAGTTATGCAATTAAGAACAATAATTTTAATGTTAATTTGGAAGTAATATCCTTAAGTATTAGTAAAGTATTAAAAAAATTAGTATCAATGTGCTAGTTTTTGAAGTATGTTAAGAAAAATAAATGAAATAGTCAATTTTTTTTCACTTAAATTAGCATTGTAAATGTTTTAAGATATTTTGTAAGGAAAACTTTCCATGATTTTTATTTTTATTTAATAGATTCTATTTTTACCTTTTAAATAACATTTTTTTTACATCTGTAGGACCTTCCTGTCCAGAGAAATCTGCATCTTTTGGCAGAGGTATCTACAAGAATAAAAAAAATTAAATGGCGGCCATTCCGACAGGAGGGGGCGTAGACCCCAATATATGGGTGTTTTCGTCGATGAAATTAGGTATATTTTGTAACCTTAAATTATCGCTAGGTCGTGACCAGACACACTATATAAAGTCCACTGATGAACATAGGCCTTCCTAGATTCCAAACTACGTATTTTACATCTGGTATATACGCGATAACTTAGTTGCCTCTTGAACACGGGCGAAATAAGACGTCAGTTTCTTTTATGTCGTCACAACAAGTCAAGAAAAATTAGTTCGACAGTATTGATTATGTTCAGGAGTGGACATGTCAAGGGCTCTAATGATGACGATGATCCATTCCATAAACTCGCATTGAATAAACTGCTTCTTTACGACAGGAATTGTTAAATAAAACTATACAGAATGGACATTTTCGGACCCTACAATTTCTCAAAGCTGTACGCCTGTAGTTAGTCTCATGCACATGTGCAACAGGTGATGGGCAGCAGTATCTTTCTGATAAAAACTCCAAATAATAATAAAAAAAACTGTGGGGCTACCAACGCGCCTTCCAAGTGTGGTAATTGTGGCGAATGCCCCCCCTTATGAAGCAATCCGCGAGGGTGGCCTATGTTCAGCAGTATCTCTCTGATAACAACTCCAAATAATAATAATAAAAACTGTGGGGCTACCAACGCGCCTTCCAAGTGTGGTAATTGTGGCGAATGCCCCCCTTATGAAGCAATCCGCGAGGGTGGCCTATGTTCAGCAGTATCTCTCTGATAACAACTC